AAAATTTTTAAAAAAACGCATGATTTTCACGTTACACCTGATCTTAAAATCTAATTGGTCAATTTATGTCGATCAGTAAAAATCTGTCGGTGCTACTGGGGTAGTTTCACGTACAGTACGTATGTACATACGTCTTAGAATAAATTCTACTATACAATACTGATACTATACGTTTTTTTACAAAAAAACACTATCGTTGTATATACACAGTATACATTTTTAAAACCTAGATTGCTTCAATAATTCAATAACCACTACTATAGTTTATTTATTATTCACCAGTACTCATATTACACATTGCTTTTACAACATCACCATGGTTTACAATACTCTATCGTAATCTATATTCGAAGATTTTTGAGTGCATCCACTTCACTTTTCAAATTAACCATAGCTGCTGCAACAAATTTGGACTGGCAGATCCTCGATTTTGATTGCCCACATTACAAAATTGTTTACTAAATTTTGGCCGGAATTAACTTTATTTTTTCATCATATGGGCGAATTTGACTCATAAAGGTGATAATTCAGTAAATGATCTATATGAATAATTGTGTCATACATATATAAACAAATCACATGTTGTTTTTACTACTGCATTATGGTTACATAACAATGAATTCATATCTTTGCTATCTTTGTCCACAAGACTTTCGCTATCCTTATCAGTCTCAAAGTTCTTTTATTAAGCATGAAAAAGTTAAACATCCAAACAATAAAATAATTCCTATATTTATACTATAACTGCACCTTCAAATTATGATATCGAACAATTCAGAAATGCATTTATAATTCAAGTGAAAAAACAGCTTCAATTTGGTCATAATGCAGTTAAAGACAAGATAATCCGGTTTGAGCCTTTTTTAGAAGGACTATTTATTACTTTATTTTATCGCACACCTTCTTTCTATTTTAATATATCGCAAAAAAAATATACTGCTAGTTTTAAAGGGAGTAAAGGTTTTGAAGAATTAGGAAGGTTATTAAACGATGATAAATGGGTATCAAAGAAGATAGGTCAGGAACTACCGCTTATGTTTTAATGGAAAATAAGTCTAAAGTATATGAAGTTAATTTTATATGGAAGGAGCATATATATAAGAAACATTATTATCCTTTATTATGTGGTTCAGTAACATGTTCATTTAAAACTGATATTCAAGATTTTATTTTGGAATAAAGTAAATAAAATTTTTTATCAATATATTTGATACTATAATATACTGTAATAATAAACTAATGAATAATAAATTTTATTTATTTTTAACTTTTAATTTGCATAACTTTTCGTGAATAAGTTGTTGAAATATCATAAATTTGATAATAGATTTGTCGATTTTCATAGACTATAATATTATATACTACAGGCTTGCAAATTTTACCTCCGCCCATTGTTGTTCCAGAAAAAAAAAGCCGAACCTATATAGTAAGATATTAATAAAATTATAAGATAACTTTTAAATAATAATAATAATAATTTCTTACATATTCATGATTTTTTTTTTTCAAGACTAGAACTTGAAAATAGACGTAGTGATTACGCATAAACTTAGGTATATGTTGAGTTAGCATATACATATATGGTGTTACATTTTTTTTTTGGATACATTTCTTGTTGCTGATTTGGTGAATTTAACTTTCCAATAGTTGGTCGGCTAAAATCTTTAACCTATTGTTTTGCATCATTTTCAAATAAGTCAATTTCGGTATTAGTTAAATATTGTTGACGTATTATTTTGTAAAGTCTATTAAATTCGCACCAGAGATATTCTATATCTTTTCCTCTTTCTTGATTAAAAAATTTAGCAATTTGAAAATTTTGTAACACCTTAAGTTTATCAGGACCCATTAAAGAAGTCCAAGTCCAAGGGCTAGAATTAGTTTTTGGAGAAAAGAACTCAAAGTGCACACTAATTCGATTCATCTCATCAATTATTAATGTTTTTGTTTTTGCAAATTTTTTCTGATCAGCCGAAAGTTCATAAAAGGCACATTGAAATAGTATATCTGAAATACGTAACATAGTGTGTAATTTATCTGGTATCCAATTGTCTTTATTAATAAGATCAAAAAGCATTGGATGTTTACATCCTAAATAACAATTTAAAATTAGCTAATTAAAATATTATATTATAGTTATCTTGCAAACTTATATTTGTTGAATATAGTAATTTGACAAATGTTTGGCTACACATACTGTATTTGTTAGATTACTGTTTTGTATATTTACCATAAGTATTCAATCCATTATCCCCAATTTAATTCCATATCTGCACGTTGGTTTTCATGACAATTGCAGAACAAGCAAAAATAGTTTAAGTTCACTGCATTAAGCCCTAATGTAAGTGCTAAATATTTCCAATCTCCGGAAAAAAAAAATTTTATAGGCCATATAGCTCCCGTATAATCAATAAATCCATCATGTTTCAATTCTTGAAGTTCTTGAACAAATTTTTGATAAATATTATTCAACGAATTATAGTTCTCTTTATCTATATATAAACAAATACTTTATAATAATAATATACTATATAATTATTAATTAATTAACTTAATAATAATATTATTAATACTGTAAAAGTGTTTACCTATATACATACTTCGGACTTAATACTGCTTCACCTTCATTAAGTATACTAATTGCTAATATAACATGATTTTGTTTTCGACCAACATTCCTATTATCGCCACCAATTTTTATATTAATTGTATCACCAGGGTAAAGGACAATTGGATTTGAAGTAGTTAAAACTGGAACTAAAACTGTTAACAAGGATTTGATTGATTGGTAAACAGCATTTCCAGTTTTATTGTTATTATTATTTTCAATAATATTCTTTTTTGATTCTGAAGACTGATCAATATCAAATAATAAAATCGGCAAGTATTGTTCAATTTGACTATCAATTTCTTTGCGTTGTTGTTCAATTAAATATTCTCGTACCATATTTGAGTCTACAGCTGCTAATTGTCGATATCCATCACGGGAAATTAATGCCTCATCACATACCCAAACAATAGAGGTATAATATTTTTGCTTGTCTTCATTTTTAGATAAATAATTAAGAGTAAGAGCTTTATTCGCAATTTTAAGTTTAATTGATTCAAGCTTTACAATATTTCCATCTGATAAATCAACAAATTGATGATTTTGAAAAAGATCTATTATTCGAATATTCAGATCCTTGGCTGCTAGTACAATTCGTTTGTTTTTTTGTGAATTTGATTCTAATTCCATATAAGGACATTTACGATTGGTAGGAGTCTTTATTCTTGCCGTATATAAACAATCAATATCAAAGCCAAATAAAAATACTCTGGAAATGTGTATAGCAAATATCCTATAATAATTTTATTAAATTAAACACAAAACATAATAATTTTAACAGTTTTTTTTAAAATTTATTTAGCATTAAAAATTTATTTCCAGCATTACTTGCTGAGGACATACTACTACTTGATACTATATTTTCATAAGAATTTACCCAACTAACTATATATTTAATTTTTCCAGTTTGTTTATTATATTCAGTTTTACATCTTACATATAATCCTAATAAAGTCGTTTTAATTTCATATTCATCAGGAATCTGATATGCAACACCATTTTTTTTTTGAGTAAATTTAGAGATAGACGGATAATGACCAAGTCTAATTACTTTGTAATTTTGCCACCAAACATTTCCACTTATTTTACGCATAGCTATAATATATGGATATTTATTATAAAATATATGACTATCTACGAAATATTACAAATATTTATTAATAAAAAATATTAATATGGTATTTTACAATTAAAATATTTATAATTAAATATAACGAACTTTGAATTTTAACATTTTTACTTAGTTCCTTAATATTTTAAACATATTTAATAAATTATAAAGAAAACTAAAAATTTTACTCTAAAAAAAAGTAAACTTACATTCATAAAAAAATACCAGTTCTATTAAAATTACTATTGTTATCACTATTCTGTAAACCTTGATCACTTTGTTTTAATCCGGTTATATTATTTGATATACTCTTTTTCGTATTTACTTGAAGTTGAGATTTTTGCCGAACTTTTTTGGAACTTAGATTATGTTTATGAAAGGGTTTAGTATAACCTTTAGAAGTAGCAAAACTTCTATTGCCATTATGAAACGTTTCAGCAGTAAGTGGAGGCTTGAATACTAATTTATCATACATTGGTAATACAATAAATGTAATACATATGAGTAACGTACGTATGTGATATAAACTTATCTAATTAACCAATCACATGGTTAATGTGATATTTGTTGTGATTTATGTTTGATTTAAAATTAGCAAATAAGGGGTCGTCTAAAGCGGAGCAAAATCACGTGATATACAACCAATCAAATTATAGAATTTTGATGATCGCCGACAAAGCAAAACAAGAAAAAAAGCAAAAAAACTTTAAAATACAAAAAATAGCAGTCTAAACCTACCTTGGTATGCTAAGCAAAAATGTCGGGAAGGCAATTTTGCTTTTATATAACTATCTAAAGCATAATCTAAACATAA